GCCCACCCAAAATCAAATCTCAAGGCTCTTACTCTAGGTAAAATATCACAGAATGTGGTGGAGAGGGGAATATCTTATTAATTTATTTATTTACTTACTTACTTATCTTTTATTGATTTCAGAGAGGAAGGGAGAGGTAGAGATAGAAACATCAATGAGAGAGAATCATTGATTAGCTGCCTCCTGCATGCCCCCTACTGGGGATCAAGCCCACAACCCGGGCATGTGCCCTTGACCTGAATCGGACCTGGGACCTTTCAGTCTGTAGGCTGACACTCTATATCGACTGAGCCAAACCAGCCAGGGCGGGAATAACACTTTTAAACAACAATAGAGAGATACTTAACTAGCACTATGTAGTAAAACAACCTTAAAATGATCACTGAATTTCTAAAGGCTTCATTTTTCTTACCAAGAAGTGAAAAAAAAAAAAATGGACTAGACCATTTCAGATATTCCCTTGAAAGCAGTTATTGAAAACCCAGCATGTGGGTCCTGGGAGCTATCAGACAAATGACACTCGGCTCTTTCCCCTCAAATAACTCAGATTAGCAGATGAGACACACACGCGAACAAGATGACCGAGAAACACCAGTGATGACCACCAAGGGTAACAGCTTCGTGAAGGGCAGAGAGGAGTCATTCAGCAAGGAAGTAGGCTGGGAATGTAAATCTGAATTAAGTCTTAAAGAATAATAATAATAATAACAATAATAATAATAATAATAAATGATCCAGGCAAATAGAGAACAGAAGGACATTCCAATCAGAGGGTGGAACAGCATAGACAACGGCTCAGAGTAGAGAACACCAGCATAGTTTGCAGTGCAGGGAATAAGAAGTAGCTCAGAACTGCCCCGTGGACCTACACAGAAGAGAGACAAAGCAAGAGTTGAAAGCAGAGGATGGGAGCGGGCTGGAATTGGTTCATGTAATACTTTCTACAATGAAGATTAAAAAAGTAAATAAAAGTGGAGAGCAGAGGCCAGACAGAGGAGATCTCGTATGTAAATGAAGGAAGCCGGACCCGACTCACCAGCAATGAAGACCCCGGGCTGGGCCTTCCCAGGGAACGACATACTCAGGATTTGATTTTAGAAAGATCCCTTTGACGGCCCGGAGGAGGAAGTGTTACAGAGCCTCGGGTCAGAATCTGTAGCAGAGATGATGAGGGCTTGTTTTAGGGTGATTACAGGGGAGGACAGAAGTTGAAGAAATAAGAAGCAAAAGCAGCAGGACTAGACACAAATTGCGAGTGGGTGAAGATGGGAAGGGGGGAGAGGCATGCCATGGATCCAGGATTCTGCTCAAGAGAGAAATGAGATACTGAACATTGGGGTTGGGGGGCGGGGAGGAGGAGAGGGATTGACAAAATTATCTTGAGTTCGGCTTGGGACACGTGGAGTCCAAAACGTATCTAGGTAGAGAGGTCCAGGGGTCAGGTGAACACCGCGACCTACCGCTCAGGAGAAAGGCCCGCCTGCAGGTATGTGGGTGTGGGAGCCAGCTGCATACAGGGACCTTAAAGTGAATGGGCCACCAAGGGGAGGGGGCCAAGTGAGAAGAGTCCTTGGCCAGATCCCGGTTAGACATCGAAACGCACGCAGCAGGCAAGGGAAGAAAGCCCGGAAGGAGGAAGACACATTCCAGAAGGAGAGGATGAGAGGGGTCCTCCCAGGAAGGAGGTTGATGGTATTAAACGCAGACCAGATGTACACCCGGGAAACGAAGAACCGAAAAATGTTTACTCGTTTGAGAAATTAAGTGAACGCTGGAGAACTTAATGAAATAAAAGTGGACTCAATTAAGGAAGCAAGAGGGAAAGCTAGGCTGCAGTGGGTTGAGAAGTAGAAACAATGAGTACGTTCTTTTTGGATATTTTACATCCGAAAGGAAGGTATCTGAAATTTCATGAAGGCTGTAAAGGTCAATTCTAAGTCCCTTCCAGGCCTCACTTTATTTTTTTATATATGGATAAAAAGCCTATTTTCATAGAATTCTATTAAAACCCACATACATTACATTTAAGGCACATTTTTAATTATCAGGAAAAACAGGAGACTCATACTGCAGCTATCGATGAAATATATGTATAGATAGTATTTCCCAATATACCTTAGAAATACCTTTAAACTAGTCTCTTTTTCATATACTAGCAGGGCCTGGGATGTAGGGAAACCATTGGTGAAGTAACCCTCTCATATTCCAGCTGTTCTTTTAATGTCTCATAAAAATATTTTGTCACCCTCCGTCTGGAATAGTCTTCTCTATTTTAATTTAACTCCTATTCACTCTTCAAGGGCCTGCTCAATGTCCCCCTCACGGAATCCCGGAATGTTAGAGACAAAAAAAGGCCTTACGGATTCATTGAACCCAAGGGTTCCCGCTGTTCTGATGGAGGAACTAAAGGCCAGAGTTTCAGAGACTGACCTGCCCAAGGTCATACTCATGGATTATGGGAAATCTGAAATCTGAACTTCAACCAGTGCCCATTTCACTACACAATTTCCTTGGGTAATCATTATTATTATTATTATTATTTTAAATTTAAGATGGCAATAAATTAAGCTTTAAGAATAATCCATTTAAGAGAGTGTATCTAGTGTAAGAGCCAAGATAATACACTTCAGAAAACAAAGAGCTGGTCTACAACGTGTTAGTTTGAGTCAACTACCTACAAGTAAAGAGTACAGATGCCGACTAATATTTATTTCGGGGATGAGCTGACTATCAGTCACCAGACAGGATCCCCGCCGCGCCCACCCCCGCCCCCCCGCCCCCCGCAGTGCAGCCTGTATTTCAGCCGCTGCCGGCGGAAGTGTGGGAGCAGATGTGGGCAGATTGTGACATACAGTATGTCTTTAAAACTTGTTGGGGTGTGAAATTTCATAAGGTCAAAAAATGCTGCATTTTTGATCAGCAGATACAGGAGTTCTAAGATTCTATAAATTATTTCAGACAAACCAATAGCATTCGCTAGTCAAACAGAGACACTGAGGAACTGTACTGGCTGTGGGTAGCACATGACAATCTATGCTTCTAATGTTTTCAAAGCCAATTCCTGTCATTTCAAAGCAAATGCTTGCCCAGATCTTCAGAATGAAAATGTGTTAAATCAATACAAAATACAGGACAGTATTTCAATTGACAATAGGATTTTAAAAATAATTTTCTACTGAAAGAAGGATACACATAGCTAATGAGCATCTGGGTGGGAAAAATAATTTCCTTAACTAATCCAGACCTGTACGTGCCCTCACTTTTTTTAAATGGAAAACCCAAGAATCCACTTATATAGAGAGGTGGTTTTATTTTCTTTATTTTTTTAAATTAGTATCTTTATCATTCAAATGATTTCACACATCCTTTGGTTTATTATTTAATCTTACTCTTAAAAAAAAAAAAAGATGTAGCCATAGAAAAGACCGGGGCTCTATATAACGGTAAAATGACTTTCATAAAATGGAAGGACTTTTGTTCACTTGGATTTTTCTGTTGTTGCTATTTTACTGTATTTTTTATTATTATTTTTCAGCTTCAATCTTCCCTCATATCTTTTCCAGATGGAGCTAACAGATAACAACATACAACCAAAATTAAGAATGGTGTCCAGTTAAAGATTTTATCTCAATGGCACTGACTTTAGCTATTAGGCAGGTTTATTTGAATTCAACACAACTTTAAAACACTTTACTTCAGAATTAATACAAAAAAAACCCCTTTCATTGATAATCAGTACATTGAACAGTTTCAACTGTCTGGTCATAACATTGCAATAATAATAACTAAGGTCATTATCATAACTTACCACTGTCTTTCAGTTTACTCTGTGCTATGTTCAGGCAAACACATAATTTCAAAATAAGTTTACATCACAAACATTTTAGTAGATGTCTGTAAGGAAGGAAAGTTTAACTACAAACATAAAGTCTCCCGTGAAAGATAATTTCTGATGGAAATCACTTATTTCTCATCATGCGACCACTCAGAGGCTCTACGGTCATGAGAGGAAACTGACTGGCAATGCACTAGGAGCTACTGCGACTTCTTCCAACCGTGTCCACCCCCAGCCAGGTCCTCCCCCAACTGTGTCCACCCGCAACCAGGTCCTCCCCCAACCATGTCCACCCCAACCACGTCCACCCGCAACCATGTCCACCCCAACCGTGTCCACCCCCAGCCAGGTCCTCCCCCAACCGTGTCCACCCAGGAACCATGTCCTCCCCCAACCAGGTCCACCCCCAACCGTGTCCACCCCAACCGTGTCCACCCCCAACCGTGTCCACCCCAACCAGGTCCACCCCCAACCGCGTCCACCCAGCAACCATGTCCTCCCCCAACCTTGTCCACCCCCAACCAGGTCCTCCCCCAACCACGTCCACCCGCAACCATGTCCACCCCAACTGTGTCCACCCAGCAACCATGTCCTCCCCCAACCGTGTCCACCCAGCAACCATGTCCTCCCCCAACCATGTCCACCCCCAACCAGGTCCTCCCCCAACCGTGTCCACCCGCAACCATGTCCTCCCCCAACCATGTCCACCCCCAACCAGGTCTTCCCCCAACCGTGTCCACCCTCAACCAAGTCCACCCCAGCCAGGTCCACCCCCAACAAGGTCCACTGAGCAATCAGGTCCGAAGGGCTTTGCTTGCATTTTGTCAAGAAAAACCTACAGCACATATTGGGGGAACTATAATGATCACATTCAAGTGCTCGCTATTAAAAATATTAAAGAATTCATTTCCGAAGACCACCTATCATTGATCTTCCCTACTGGGCTCGATCCCCAGTGTGGGGCGTGCAGGAGGCAGCCAATCAATGGTTCTCTCTCATCAATGAGGCTTCTCTCTCTCCTTCCCTCTTTGAAATTCTATCAAAGCTGCAATTCTCTCTGCTGTTCACTACAAATTTCAACTTCCTCATCAGCGTCTCATACCTGACACAGGAGGCCACACGAATAAATAAATACCAAGTGAGTCCACAGTTATAATGAACTTACTTGCCACTGAGAAGTTGTTGAGGGGGTAAGGCAGGTCCACGTCTTGAGGTTTCTCTTTATATCCTATGAATGAGCCATCTGTCTTCAAAATGAAATATCGTGGCCTCCAGTTTTTTATATATTCTCCTACAGGAGGAAAACATGCATGTTAATGTCACGGGGTGGGGGTGAGGGGGGATGAACAGCAGCTTTTATGTGGAAAATACATCATGGTACAATATATGTCCTACAACACTGGCCTCCAGATCTTTAGTTAGGCCATTTCCTTCTAACTTCGCTTACGAAAGAAAATACATAAGCCTGCAATTCAGTTTCAATAAAAACCCAAACATGTTTCGTTTTTAATGATTTTGCACTTTGACGATTCGTTTGCACCATCATTTCTTCAGAGAATCGTTCATCTGCGATCACATTTTGTTCAGTTTTTCATTTTATCAGGTGGTTGTTAAGAGCACGTTTTCAGCCCTTTTAAAAAGCCGTGGTCACGCATCCACACGGCTCGCGCTGAGGAATTCCTATGAAACACACTTACCCTAAGACGGATATGAACCAAAAGTTTCTCTTCCACGTACCATTGACTAATTGTGCCATTAAAAAAAAAAAAAAGGAACAGGGTCTAGTTTCATTGTTAAATCTTGATCGTAATTCTTTAAACATTTTATTGCTCTACCTAGGAAAATAACTTTCTGTGAAATGCTGTAAATAAGTCCTGAGAATTAAAGAATTTGGATTAATAGAGCTTAAAAACCACAGACATGGTCACACACACACACACACACACACACACACACAAATATAATAACTATAAGAGCCCATGGTACAGTGCCAAGCACATAATAGTTAATACATTTATCAGGTTTTGATATAAACCTACCTACCAAAATAGAAACGTTTAGCAACCAGATCACCATTGTCTTACCTCATCAAGAACTCTTCATCATTTGAAGCAAGAGAAGTGCCCTAAGATACCACAAGAGCGGGAGGCTACCTGGTCTGAGTTGTCAATTCTTCACCGGCTATTTCTACCTGGTGACTCAATCTCAAATGTTTGATCGCAGTGCTACAAAAATTTGGAAGTAGTTCAACTTTCCCGACCAATCAGCCTCTCCCGACCCCTGTTATCTTAGCTCAAACCTAAGGCCTGACTGCTCCCTTATTTTATCCCATCAGTAGCGAGGTCAACACTGCACAGCCTAAACCAAACCCAACACCTTACGGTGGCCCTTCTGCTTGTGCACTCCACCTGCTCTCCATTCTACTCACTCCCCAGCTCCTGCCCCGATGCATCTGTCACCTCCAGATTATTCTCATATCACTTTTCTGCTCAAAAATTCTGACTCCTCAGCCAGCTGGCGTGGCTCAGTGGTTGAGTGTTGACCTATGAACCAGGAGGTCACGGTCTGATTCCTGCTCAGGGCACAATGCCTGGGTTTCAGGCTCGATCCCCAGTGTGGGACATGCAGAAGGCAGCCAATCAATGATTTTCTCTCATCATTGATGTTAATCTCTCTCTCTCTCTCTCTCTCTCTCCCTTCCTTTCTGAAATTAATAAAAATATATTTTAAAAATTTTCTGACTCCTTACTCTTTACTGTAAAGTGCAAGTCTCTTAGCATAAAATGCCAGCTCCTCCATCCCTTCCCCCTAACATGTATTTCAGAAATGGAATCACTCCTCCGAATCAGCAATTCTCACACTTCTTACCTTACACCTCTTTACACTCATAAACATTACTGAGGACCCCCCCAAAATATTCATTTATATGAAAATGATTACATCTATAATGCTTACTGTATTAGAAATTGGAAAAAAGACATATTTTATTAGTTCTTTTAAAAATAGCAAACACATTACATGTAATAAATAGTTTGATGAAGAAAATTATATTTTCTAAAACAAAACAATGAGAAGAGTCGAACTGCTCTCCACTTTTGCCAATCTCTTAAGTGTTCGGCTGAATAGATGGCCAGAGTTTCCTATGGGCCCGCACTCAACCTGCGGCAGCGTGTTATTTTCATTGAAATATGGGGAAAATCCGCCCAGACAGGCATGGAGCTGGAAAAGGGAAGAGCATTCACCTAGTTATAGGTATCTTTCTTTGCTATTACACCAGCATTTGACAAGTGGTAGTTTTCTAAAAGATCACTTGTGATATGGAATGAGAAACCATATCCAGGAACTTTCTACACCGTTCTGTGAAAATCCCCGGGTCTAGACACTGAAGGAATCTTTTTCACGATGCGTGATTTTGTAACATCACCCACCGGTTTTTTCAAAAACACTGGTCCACTGATCTTCCAAATATCAGCACATTTCACTCTATAATCACATTCGCTATCACTGCAAATCTCATCAGAAAAGCAAGCACTGGGAGCTGTAGGCTCACGCTAGCAGATATGTTCTCCAAAATTCAAATTTTTGCTTGAAAACTCGATTTTCACCATTGGCAGTAAAGACTGTCATTCTTTTTTTGCCACGGTGTGTTCCAAGTGCCTGTCATCTGAGTAGCTAGTGTCAGGTATAGAAAACTTGAATCCCATCTAAAGGAAGGAAAAGGCTACCCAATGTCAAAGCACAGCACTGACTTATTACTTTTATTTCTTTCAACCCTTTTTTAAGATAGAGGTGGGGTACCAGAGGAGGAACTAGTCTTCCAAAGAGAAGAGCAAAAGCCTTAGGTCTCTCTGAATAGCTTTGAATAAATAACATACACTGGATATAGCACCATGAAAATTCAAATATTTTAAGAATTTCCAAAGAAGAGCTTTTAACCCAAAATTGGCAGCTTTCAGTAAAAATTAATTTATATGATTTTCAGAAACCATTAGTCTTAGGTAAATGTCTTCATGGCTCAATAGTTACTTAAGACAAATAAAGGTTTAATGTTAATTTCAGTATGGAATCTATTCAATTTCATGGTTCACAATATTGTAAATATTGAGCTGCTTGTTGACAGATAGCAACTAGATTTACACAGAACTGTTTAAAAATATATAAATATATCAGAGTACGGCCCTAACCGGTTTGGCTCAGTGGATAGAGCGTCGGCCTGCGGACTCAAGGGTCCCAGGTTCGATTCCAGTCAAGGGCATGTACCTTGATTGCGGGCACATCCCCAGTAGGAGGTGTGCAGGAGGCAGCTGATGGATGTTTCTCTCTCATCGATGTTTCTAACTCTCTATCCCTCTCCCTTTCTCTCTGTAAAAAAAAAAAAAATCAATAAAATACATTTAAAAGGAAATTTAAAAATATATATATATCAGAGTACGTATCCACTGGTGGATTTTCATTAAATAAGTATTGGCCCCATAAACAAATACTGAATATATAGTTCATAATAGTGTGCTACATCTTAAATATTAAAGCCAAATATAGTTCCTAAAGAAATACACAATGAATGTAATAAAACATTTGCAATCTCTGAAATTGCCTATTGCTTTTTATATAGCAGATCACAATACCATCTTCCAATTAGTTCTAAGTGAAAGCCGTATTAATGCCTCAGGGAGGAGGAGGAATGTGTTTCTCGCTGAAATTATCATCCTCTTTCACGTATGTCTTGAAAATAATACTAATGAATTTTTTCATATTATCCACACTGCAATGAGGCAGCATAATAAGTTTTCAATTACACAGGAATAATCTGAAATGTAACTTTAAAAAAAAGGAAAACGCTTTTGCATATTGTTGGCGCTCAGCAAATCTATGTTGATTAGGTTTTCCAGCTCCTGAAAACCTAAATTTTCAGGTTATCATTCTTCTTTTAGGTCCTTTCACGTATGTCCTTTCCATCCAGCCAGTGTGGCTCAGTGGTTGAGCATCAACCTATGAACCAGGACGTCACAGTTTGATTCCCATAAGGCACGTGCCCAGGTTGTGGGCTTGATCCCCAGCATGGAGCGTGCAGGAGGCAGCTGATCAATGATTCTCTCTCATCACTGATGTTTCTATCTCTCTTCCTCTCTGAAATCAATTTAAGTATGTCCTTTCCTTGCCCTTGGGACCAACTACGCAATCTCTTGGACAACTGTCACCAACCAGCGTTGGAGGTGTGCTGACGGAAAGATGCGTGATGGCTACAAACACGCCCAAAGCCTTCAGACTCCTGCCAGCTCCCTCATTGTAAGGTGCTGCTCGATGGAGATCACAGATCAAAAAATAAGGTTCTGTAAACATTTGTATGTTAGAATCGGCAAAATAATCTTCTAATAGATTCATCCATTCGAAAATACTCAGTGTCAAAATATGCCCACGCACCCAGGCTGCGGCAATGAATGAAACCGGCCCGGGCCTGCCCGCACGGAGGGAGCTTCAAGTTCTCGGGCAGCTAAGGACAGACAACCGGAGAAAAGGGGATGATGTGAGCAATTCACATGCAAAATGACAACGTCCCCCACGTTTTCGGTCATTCTTAGTGGCTCAGGAGGCCGTGCGGGGGGAGGGCATGTGTCCTGGGCCGTGGCATTTCCAAACGGCACCTTCTGCGCCCTGAGAGCAGGGGGAGCGGTGGTGTCCGGCCTGGTGCGTGCCGTGGGCGAAGGGACTGGCAGGATCGGCAACGATCCTTCGATATTTCATGAGAGAACTGGTTGCTGCTGCGTGGACGCCAAGACCAGGCACGACACGCACTCCTCTTTGAAGCCTCGTCATGACGATATAGGCAAGAGCTAGCGACCGTTTACAACGTGCATCATCTGGCGTAACACGGGACACACCTCTGCCTTTCAAGGTGCAAGATGCTGGCCACGCTAGTCCCTTCTCTCATGGCTCCTGCAGTGCTGATTAAAGCGGCCGCCCTGCCAAGTACTCGCCTCTGCCATGATCTCTTGCCCAGGGTGTCTGGCTAGTGTGGGGGGTGGGAGTGGGTGGGGGGGGGGGGCGCGGTACAGAGGGACCTGTCTGCTGGGCGCTGGTCAGCGTCCATCACCACTGCCGCCGGCCCGCTTCAGGCGCCTGCCATTTTGGCGATTTCGTGTTGCGCCTCCCAGATGCCGGAAAACCTTTCCAGATGTGCCGCATTCCTAAGCGTTACCGCATGTGCCCCTTCGAGATTCTTTTGAAAAGTGCATCACAGTCAAGAAATTTGGCTTCCACTGCAGAACGCATGGACTTGTCACTCTTAGGTTA